GCTGCGGTGGCAACAGCGGGGTGGACGTTCGACTGAGCAGAGGGCTGGTCATCCCTGCCCGTCGGCCGGGGCTGGGGGAGGCCGAGCTGCAGCCGCGGCGGCCCGGGAACAACAAAGTGGGCTGTAAAGCCTCCAGGTGGTGGGTGTATTTGTTGTCCTGTCTGCGAGGTGCGGTGGCTCCCCGGCCCCGGCAGATCCTAGTGCTGCTGTGGACATTAAGAAAAGTCTCTTTTGGCTGATTCCAAAACCAGATAAGGAGCCGCCGAGTCCCCAGCTATGTCTAGACACCGGACCTCACAAGTCAAACGGGTTGTTTGGATTAGCCTTGGCGATCTACCGACCTGAACAGCCCTCCTAAAGAAAAGCCACAGTAACACTCTATTTTCCTCTTCCCATTGCTCCCCGAGGTCTTCCCGGAGATAGAAACCAAGCTCTCTCCTAATGCGTGTAACTTCTTTCTGAAAAACTTTTCGCTCTCTCTTTCTACCCCTCAATCACACTTCACCCTTTTTTGTCTGCCAGGAGAAAATTAAAAAAAAAAAAAAAGGCAAAGAGACACTCCAGCAAACATCCTGTTTTGCAACCTCCCTCCTTCCTTCTTTCCCCGCGCTACACACCCCAGAAGAGAGCGGGAGCTGCAGGTGGTTCCTCAAGCGGCAGCCGCGGCAGAGCCCGGTCGGGCTGCCCTGCAGGATCATTGTCCCGGTGCCGCCAATCCCGGAACACCGGGCCCGGGGAGCGGGTCTGACGCGGCGAGGCTGCGCGCCCTCCCTGCCTCCATCACTCTCCCTCCCTGGCCTCGAACAAGCACTTGTTTAGTGTCTCTTAGCCGCTGCGGGAAAATTTAAGGGAAATTCAAACGAAACAACAGCGTGATGTAAAAGCAGCATCTTTCGGCTGGGATGCTGCGCAGAGCTGCGCTCAGAGCCTGCCCTGAGCTCCGGCACGGGCAGAAGGCTCGGAGAAAGGCACTTACTGATTTTACGCGCCTTGCCCCTGGCAAGGCCCTCATTAGAGGGCAGATACCGTGCAATATGGAAAGGTCGGCTATACAGGCGAACCTCTTCCGCTCACCGCCCCCCCCCCACCCCTCCCCCGGAGCCTGTCTCTCTTGGGAGCTGCCTTCTCTGCCTGCACTTCACAAGCCTCGGGAGTGATCCTACACCAGGGCCGGCACATTGGGAGCTGTTTATGTTTGTGGCGCCTGAGCTCAAACAGTCATTCAGTGGCTTGCACTGTTATCAAGAAAACAACAATCAGGAACAATCAGTAAACAGGATCTCTTTCCAGTCCCTTTATTAACTACTTACAGCTCCACTGAAGCACGCAAAGCGCCCAGCAGCGGCATCTCTCACCGTAAAACGCTGCCGGCGTTTCGGGCGTGCAGACGGGGCCAGGGAGGATGGGTGCGCGTGAAACCCACTCGGCACCACGGCTCCCTCCCGGGAGCTGCGCTCCGGCTGGGGCTGCGGCGGCCTGAGGGCCAACACTGCCGGAGGGACCCTGGTTCTTTCCCTGACATCCATTCTTGGGTGACTCAACGTGGTTTTGTTAAGATATGTATGCATTCATATTTATATAAAGGCAAACACTTACTGTTGAGATGTTTAACTGATCTCAACTCTGGAATTCACGTACCCGGCTTCTGCGTCTCATTGCCACGTTGGCTGGGGATGCTGAGTGCTAATTAACCTGGTACAAATATTGAAATGAGAAGAGTCTGAATACTGGTCTCAGTGTGTGCGAACGGAATCTTCAGAGAAATTACCGCAGGCTTTAATAGGCCTTATTTGACATTATTAAAACTAGCTGCAGCAAGAAGAAAACCGACGGACCTGGGACTGCTAATCGCCACCCTCGTCCATATTGGAAGGAGAACTCAGAGCAGGAACCTGACAGAGCGCCATAAGGACATGCATTTCATGAAGAGGAGCTCTTCTCTCGCTTACACAAATCCTGCTGCCCAAGGTCAGGAAGGGTGTTCTCCTGAAGGCGCTGGGAGAGTCCGCTCGACAGTTTGTCTTTATTTGCTCCACGGCAGAACACATTCGAAGGTTTGCGGTGCGCTATATGTCATGGAAAAGGGAACTAAAGGCCATAAAAGAAATAATCTTAAAATAAGGCGAATTTTTTTAACCGCAGTTTCGAGGTTGGAGGCTCCAGGGTGCGCTTCCTGAGGGACGCGGAGACCACCGAGCGGCTGCCGCAAAAGTGACCCGCCTGCTCCCTCGTCCTGGACAGGGTGGGGGGGCTCAGGCCCCTGCGGGGCTGCAGGCAGGAGCCTGGCGGTAGATGTGGGTTCAGGCACATGCCCAGTGGGATTCCCGCCCGCAGTCCGCTGCAGAACCGCGACAGCGCTCCGACGCCACAGACACCCTGCTGCCCGGTGTGTTTGAAGGGCCAAGACGCTGCGCTGGCAGCCAGAACGTCAGCCCCTGTGCGGCTTATCTCGGCGACTGCCCCAGCCGCCCACAGGGTGCGTCGGCACTGCGGGGCCCAGGGCTGGGGGGGCTTTCCCCCCGCCAGGACCGACCGCCAAAAGTCGCCTTTCCCTCCGTGCGCGGCCCTCGGAGACGACAGACGTTCAGCGGCCCTAAGGTCCACCCCGGGGCCGGGAAGCGGCTCTCAGCAGCGCCCTGGCGCGCAGGTTGCTCTCTCTCGGGGTCCCTGCCCCCCCGCAACCCCGTGGAGCCGCCGCTCTTCCCACCTACGCGTTAAGCCTCCCGGCGGTAAGAGGCGAATGCAAAGGCTCCGGGGTTGCCCTGCCCTTACACGTTACCAGCACTTGCTGGTAACAGTTACAGACCCTCCCGAGTCGGAGACTGCGTCTCCAAACTCACCCAATTAAGAGGGACTCCAACAACTTACACGTCAGACTACGGGGCAGAAATGATACCCCTTCTCCCTCCCGCCCCCCGAAGCGCCGTACCAATCCTCTGATCCTGCATGAAAACACAAGGGTTACTGGTCACACAGTTTAAGGTAGATTTCATATTTATTTAAATATTTATCAAGTACTCAAAAATGTATTACACTTGAGCATACAAAATGAATCCAGTTTCTAATCAGGATGACTGAAATCCTTGTATTAGATTTTAAACATTTTTTAATGTTCTCTGTACTGTCGAAATGGTTTGTCTATAGCTGAGCTTGCTCAGGGTGGGCTGAGATGGTGAGGAGGGAGGAAAAAGAAGGTTATGTTAAGAAAACATTGGGGTTTGGAGGAACCGACATGCAAACCAACTTGTCTTTGTCAGACTAAAAATCTCTGTATATTCCAGTCCTTAAGGGTGTTTTGAAGCGAACCTTTGTCTTGTGCTGCCCAGGAGCACTAGGGAGCACACTTGGATTAGAGCAAAAACAACCCTTTCCCATTTTTTTCTTCTTTCAACTTTTCCCCAAGAAATCGCCCACGTTTCGAGCTTTCACCACCCTCTGCCCCACAAATTAAAAAAGGAATAAAAGACGGAGTGAAGAGAGGAAAGTCGACAGAAAATAAGGAACATATTCGTGCAATTTCACAGCAATATCCCCGACAGAAATATCCCCACAACTATTCCTCCTGCAGCATTATTTAATTGTTTTGACAGCAGACACTGATAAATAATGGTATACTTGACTTGTTAAGCAAAAAGCGTCCTTTTTATCAGGAGCTTATACTTAAAGCACAGGTCACTTCAACAATCTCAACAACGAGGCTTTGGTATACAGCACTTTCTTTTTATTATATTTTTAAAAATAGTAGAACTCAGCAAAAAGCCTGAGCTCCCAGTTCTTTAGATGTTTTAACGTTATGTCAGATCATGCCTAGAGTAATATCATTTTCAAGGGCAAGGGATGGGGTGGGGAGGAACAAGAGACTTTCTAACGTTATCAATTGAAAGCTAAGGCATCCAACTAGCCCTGATACAGTTGTTGAAATGGAAATTTACAAGCTGGTCGTTAATACTTGCAATAAAATATCACACTCCTTTTATTCACTAACGACCTGCTTTGCATGCAATATTTTATTTCAGGTATTATAACTGCTAACCTGTAAATATTTAAAAGAGGGAACTTTGTTCATTATTTAATGTTAATATTATTATTATTTTCTCTATTTCAAACGCTTATCTAGTGAAATAGTCCTGAAGATATAATAATTCTACATATGGCGCTTTTATTTCACATCATATTTAAGGAAAGAAAAAGGACAAAACCCACATAGAATTAGACATATAATTCAAAGACCACGGTACAACCTCTTCTTTTTTTTTTCTTTTTTTTTTTTTTTTTTTTACTTGAGCAAACAAAAAATAGTCAAATGACATGAAAAGTGGCAAGTCTTCCGATAATAAATAATAAATTACTTTATAATTTTGCAATGCAAGAGCAAACAAAAAGAGTGATTTTTTTCTTTTCGCTTTTCCTTTTTTTTACCTTATTTTTTTTTTTACTTTTTTCTTTTTTTTTTTTTTAGAGAGTGAGAGAGAAAGAGAAAGAGAGAAAAACAGTCCTTATAACCAATGACTATACACATCTTTGGGGGAGGGGAAGGTTCTTGGGCAGACACATTTCAAACACAATCCCGAGACGCTTTGTGGCAAAATAGAGGTATACCTTGTTGCAATGTTTTTATAAATTGGTTTCAAAGAGGAAATCGAAAATCTATTTTTAATCATCTAGGACTTAATAGGGGGTGGATCTCAACCAAACAAAACCAAAACCCCGCTACAGACATGCTAGAAGAGACCCAGGAAACAACCCCTTGTTAAGAGTCAACTAAAAACAACATTGCAAACCAACGCAGCTCCACCTTCCTGCAAGGAATCTTTCAACAATGCAGGGCTGAATCGTCTCTTTCCTGATGATGGAAAACCTACTGGAGCTTCTTTTGGCAAGGCTATCCCCAATATTGAAACAGCACCATTCGGATTGGGAGGGACCAGATAGAAAGTCCCTCTACCTTGGTTTCTCCCTAAGATGTGCAGTCAAATGAAAAGATTTTTTTTTTTTTTTGAGATCCACAAGTACAAATCCTTTACATTTGGAAAACGTCTTTTTGATCCTCCTCTGATCATTGAAAAGCGCGGGGTTTGTGGTTCTTTTTAGTATTTTTTTCTAGTGAGATCCCATGATTGTCTTCACAGTGTTGCTACCATATTACCTTGTCTTTTCAAACATGACTCCGTTCATCTCATGGAACAGTTCCTTGCTAGGTGTCTTACAGGGTTGTTAAATATTCTTTCCCCCTAAATTTCGGAGTCACAACACGTTCACTTTCCCACTCTCTCCAACGGGATGAGGATAAGGGCAGAAACAACAACAACAGAAATCTGAATGAGTGTTCCTCATGCCTCAATAGGACTGGCTACCATGCTGTTGGGTGTATCTGGCAGCTGAGAGGACATTGATGCTACTTCACTTCCAGTAGAATTGGAACCGGGTCCTCCTTCCGAAAAATTAACCTGCCAAAAAAAAAAAAAAAAAAAAAAAAAAAAAAAAAAAAAAAAGAAAAGAAAAAAAAAAAAAAGAAGAAAAATAAGAAAAAGAAGTTTTGCTACAACTGTAAAAATCAACCAAAAGTAGCAGGTAAAGGCAAAGAAGAACACAAAAATAAATACACAAGGCATGCAGCCGAATGGCCCGATACGTCTCCACAGGAGGCTGTGTCACTGCTGGTTGCTCTGTTTAGCTTCCCCATTGACTTCACAGGAACCCTTTTCAGGCCTTTGGCCAAATCACCAAGAAAAAGTAGATTAAAAAAAAAAGGAAAAAAGAAGACTGAAAAATCAAGCAAATAAACAAACAAACTTATTAATGAGGTCTTCTTCCCTGTGTTGCAAGAGTGGCAATCCCAACAGGATGTTCTAGTCAATTATTTAGGAGTGCATGTGTTTTCTTGACAGGAAACTGAAAGGTTACCTTTTTCCCCTTTTGTGCACATACGAAAATAAACCTGGAAGGAGCATCCAGGAGCAGAAAGGCATTTGAAACCAGCCATCCTCTTTCATTCGTGATTTGAGGCGGGTGCTATCTCTTCTTAATGAGAGTCAGTTTGATAAAAAAGGTCACACTATTTCATCCTAATGTGCCCCGCTGCTCCCGTTAGTTTAGAAGCAGCGTCCGGAAAAGGCATGATTTGAAGGGTGGAGCTTTGCTAGTCCAAAAGCATTTCTTTGGCACCTATTTAGCTGGCCAATCCTGTGATTAAGGGCCTTTCCAGATTAGAGACGGTGCCTTGAACAGTGGATGAACTCTTTCATCCACTATTCTTTATTTTAACTCTTTTCAGTATCACAAATTATGTCAAATGTATATTAATATTAATCTGTCAATCTAATGATCTACCTTTAAGTGTATGTGTATTTGGATTACCCATCTTCTCTTCTGCCTTTTTTTTCCTCTGTTTTTGAACTCACTGCATCAAAGATTTCTAAAGTCTCATATTCTGTTAAGGCACAGGAAAGTAAGGCAAGAGAAGGAGATAATTTTTCCTCCTGTCTGATGGACGGCTTGATTAAAGAAGGAAAAACACGGGTTGCTCTAGATGTAAAAGGATACAAATAGCCCTGCTGCTATGCTGTATTTCCCTGAGCCAGCACAGTGTGCCAGCAAGGGAAACAAACTGCAGACTGCTGTTGGGCGAAAGAAAAGTGATTCTGCAAGAGAGCATGGTACTAAACCAAAAAGATTTGAACACAATGCTAGATTCAGCTACAAACCTTTATCTTGCATCATTTCATGTAAGAAAAAAATGTCCAACAGATCATAAAAGGGTTTATATGTTAATTTTTCATAACTACTATTTTGAATTATTGAAATACCATACACAACGTACCTTATTATTTTAAAGATCTGGTTTTAACACATTTAGGCCAGGAAACTGAGTTAAGGTTGAACTTCTGTCCTTAATTCACCTGGTTGGGCCTAAGTATTGTAGATGATATGGTCCCATATGAGCTGCCAAGTGACGTAGGCATAAGGAAGGGAGTTAAGAACAGAATTTATTCTAAAAGGTCTGTTTTCTTTCGGCTTAAGGTAGTTTATTATAGTGCTTGAATTTTTCACCTGAATACATACTAGCAATTTCCTTTTCAAAGGACAACATTTAAAATAAGCTATATATATGTATATTTGTCTGTGTATGTAGATATATGAAGTTATATCTAGAGAAACATGCTTAAAAGGACTTCAAAATTTTAATTAAGTGACTGATATTTGTGTGACCAAACAAGGGCCCGGGCTGACATTGCAATCATGTATTTAAAATTCAGCCTATGGCATAAAGGCAAAATTGGCCCAAAGTGGGGAGGGGCAAATTTTATAAACTGCTTTCACAAATGTAAGTACAATTAAGTGACGTGTTAAGAATGTTTTAGTTCTCTGGATGAGGTGCTGTCAGTTTTCAGGAGTGTGAAAGCTGAGTTATTCTCAGACCTGGCTCAGGCCTTATCCAAACTCGCAGTCAACCCCACAAGAGCTCTGCTGTACGCTAAGGTAGATTTTGCATCAACCCCTATGATATCAATTCAATTCTCCATGTTTACAGGTGCTATCATGTCCACCTTGTAATTTCGGGAAAACCCAGCTAGCGTGGATTGCTCGTCTCACTGAGAGCATCCAACACTTTTAATGAATCCCCGATTGCTCTGCCCCTGATACCGGCTGGGAACCGACACTTACTAGTTGCTGAAAAGCAGGTTGGTCTATGTCACTCTGCAACGCGAAGTCACTCAGTACTTTCCAGGGCGGCTGGTAACTCTGCACCTCCACGGGGTTCGCCTGCAAACCCCCGTCATGTCTCTCCGGACTAGCAGCCACCATAGGAGTTCCTGTCATCCCTTGGATATTCTGTAAACAGCCCAGCAAAAGATGTTAATGAGCTTGATTAACTTCATTGTATATAAGTGCTGAGTCAATAAACTGCTTTCTATCTTATCTATACGGTCTCTTGTATTTGCTTTGTTAATCTGCTGTGAATGTCTTACTGTATTCTGCTCTAGGTCAGCCTGTTTCTACCCGCTGCATTTATCACGGTGGAAGTTTACTTTCTTTCCCTTTAATGCTCCTATTCGTCTCAAGGCATACTCCGTCCTAAGCTTTCTTAAACCTGAGCATTCTGTATCTCGACTGCCGATGCACGTCTCAGAACAAGAAACGGTTAATTATGCTCCCTTCCTATGTCGCATCCAGGCTGGTTTTGTTCTGCATGACCTTAACTAGATCGTATATCCACTGCACGACGTCCACTGCCGTCCACGTCATTACCGCGCTCTTAATAAACAAACAAACAAAACAAAACAGCCCTCCCAGTATGCCCTATGGTGCAGACAGAGTGTACAACATAACTCCAAGCCTCGACGAATAGATTGTTCAGGCGAGTTAATAACACCGTGTTTTATTGCATTCCAACAGGGTAAAATGAAACTCCTTAAATTCCACTTAACTAGGCAGCCTTATGGATTAATAGTCATTCTCAGGTCAGTCAATATATACACAGGGAGAGTAACAGACTCTTCTTCAAGTGGACTAGCGACAACAGAAAGAAAAAAAATTGGCTTAAAATGGAGACAATTTGTTCGACTTTCTGCTCGTTTGCATCACACACGCATATGTCCACAGGCAAGAACTCAAAATATATAAAACTATCTATAAGTTAACCTGTAAACAGTATGGTAATTCTGAAAACTTTGCATTGTATTTGTCTTTTTCTACAGTAAGTGCACTGACAAACACACACCTATACATCCTGTAGTATATAATGTGCTAAGAAAAACACATCTAAATTGCCTTTTATCCGTCGTCTTTTTTAACTTTTTTTTCCCCTGCTGGATTTACTTCTGTTTAAAACGAGGGAAGAGGGCAAAAGCATTATTTTCCCCTTAAGGAGTCCTTTGCTTTTGCAGTATCAGCATTACACAAAGCTGATACACATCCCATGAGCTCTGCAGGTCACAATTCATGCTGCAGAGAAGTTAGTCTAAACCACTGCGTATCTTTTAGCCCCGCAAAAGAGATGGGTTTGCGTGAGCAGCCTGTATCTGCTCCTTTCTGTGGTCTGTTTCGATTGCACTGACAACAGAAACAAACGGTAACAGCTAAGCGGTATCGTTTTCTTTGTTTTAAGGGAGCTCGCAAAAAATCAAAAGCATCAAACCGAGCCCTGAGGCTGTCCGAACCGGACGTATCCCAGGCGTTTCGCCTTGGCAATTAAGGCAGAACATGGACAGAAGCTGAAGCCACTTACAGTTTTGTCATTGGGTTGCTGCTGCTGAAGTTGCTTCATCATAATGCTCCTTTTTTTATCCTTGCATCGCTTGTTTTGAAACCAAACCCTGATGACCCTCGGGCTGAGGCCAGTCATTTCTACCAGTTGCTCTTTCATGAGGGCGTCAGGCCTGGGGTTGGCAGCGTAGCAGGTCCTCAAGGTGTGAAGCTGTTTTTCATTAAGGACAGTCCGGACTCGGGTGGTCTTCTCAGGCTGCTTGTGGACGTGGGGCCGCAGAGCTGGCTGTCTGGCAGAGATAGGTTCTGCTGTAGGGGAAGGGAGGAACAGGATCCCCATGAGTAGGGAGCAGGGAGTCTGCGGAGACTATGAATCTAAGCTGGTGGAACAGGGGGAGGGGGCCGGGGGGGGGGGGGGGGGGGGGGGGGGTGATGAACCCTCTTTCAAAGGCCATTCAAACACTCAGATCTATCGGAGCTGCTGCAGACTCCTCTGCTTTATGCGCTGGTGGAGTGACTGACATTTCTGACTCCTCAGATAATTAATTTGCAAAAACAAACCACCCCCCTAAAACCCTTAATGACAGAAGCTTGAACCTGTATGAGACTTGACAGGGGAGGGTGAGTTTGCTGAGGTGTATGTGTGCTAGGAAAGGAGCAGGAGGGTTTTGTGTGTTTATCTCCTGACAAATCACCGAACCAGATTTTTGGGCCAAAAATTAATGAACGAAAACTTCTTAAATTAATCATTATTCGGGTCTGCTTCTTGTATAGTGAATCTAGCTCAGTTTAGCCAGAAGCCGCCATAACGTGCAGTAGCTCCCGGTGGTTTGATGCTTCCAAATTGAAGCAAAACAAGCGAAATCCTCTGCACCAAGGCCATGGAGGAAGAGCTTGTGAGAGCCCTATATACCAAAGCACGGAGGATGGCATCTATCTTAGAAAGTGGAGGTGCTAGGTGAATTTGTTTAGACTTAAGAAGAATAATTTTTTTAAAAAAAAGTTTGTCTGATTCTTTACAAAGGAGAGCAAGCCCAGCAACTCGTGGAAACGGCCAAGAAATGCAAACCTACGGGTAGCATCACATCAAGAGCTAAAAGTGTTCCTGTAATTCTGCCATTCTTCTGTGCGTTGTGTAGCTGTAGCTATGTAGGTGTAAATTGACCCAGTCAAGGGAAAAATAAAAACACTGCTATTTCCCCCCCCCCCCCCCTTAAACTGTTTAGCTAACATTCTGAGGTGCTTGCTTTTGTACAGTCGGGTTCCGATTTCTCTGAGTATAACAATACATCAGCAGATGCGATGAAGACATTACGAAGGCTTCCAATCTTATCAGTATTATACCTGCCGACACAATAAGCCTTTCGGAGACATGCACAAACACGCTATAGGGAGCACAATCTCTCTAGAATTGTGCCCTGATAAGGTACCGGATTATTTCTTCCTATATAAAGATAAGTCACCCGAAAGCAGCTCAGAAGAGGGAAACGAGCCTGTTTTAGCATAGCTAAACTTTGCAAATAACCTTCCGAGATACAGTTACATGCACAGCAATAATGCCGGCCAACCTTGTATCGTCCAGCCTAGTTTGCCTCAGAGACATGTCCCTTCCTAAAGCTAAGAGTCTCTGAGTAGCTGACGTGCCACGTCGAGAACTACAAGTGTGAATGAAGTTGTAAGGTGGGGCGACTCTGAAGTTACTAGGCTGAGTTTTGAGATGAAATTCTCATCAAAACACGAGAAACGTTTCAAGAAGGCAGAGTCACTTTAAAAGACAATTACCGAAAATTAGCTTGTTGACAGTTTTAAATTACAGCCTGAGCGCTCGCCTGTACTTATGAAGCCTATCTCTTTTAGAACCCCACTTCCTCCAGCGTTCAGAACGGCTTCTGCACACGCTCCTGAGGCGGCCGAGAGATCGGCCGGCGCTTTGCCGTAGACCTGCTCGCCGCAGCGGCCCGTCCCTCTCCGACTCAGACTCAGGCTCAGGGCTCGGGAGGGTGTGACGGAGGACTCCTGCACGCGGTGCGCGCTGGGGGCAGGAAGAGCGGGGGTGCGGCCCCTCCGCAGGTGTCCCGCTTCACGCGTCCCGCGAACGCGGGCGTTTCTCGCGGCAGCAGGACCCGCGGCAGCCCAGGGCGTGGGGCAGTCACCGCCGCCGGCGCCTCTCCGAGGAGGTGCGGGACCCTGCGGGAGCGTGGAGCTCTCCCTGCCGCCCAGCGCGGGGCCGGGCGTCGCCAAACCCCGCGGGCTCCCGCGGCGCTGGGCGCGGGCGGTACCTGCCATCTGCAGCGGCCGGGCGGGGTGCAGGGGGCTGAGGGGGTCCCCGCCGCCCAGGCTGGCCCGCTCCACCACGTCGTGGTCCGCCCGGCAGAAGAGGCCGTCCTCCCGCAGCGCGAATTCATCGCCTGGGATGAGCTGGCGGCTGCAGGCCACGCAGCGGAAACACTCGATGTGGTACACCTTGGCGCGGGCGCGCATCACGAAGTCATTCTTGCTGAAGCCGATGCTGCATTTGGCGCACTTGATGCCGTATAACCTGAGCAGGGCCCAGCCCAGAAAGAAAGAGAAGGAAGGGAAGGAGGGAGAGCACGGGAGGGGGAAGGGGAGGGTAGGGAAGGGGCGGGAGGGAGAAAGGAAAGGAAAAAAGAAAGAGGTTTTCACTCCCGCTCGTGGGCAGCCCCTGGCCCCGCGTAGACGCGCCACACGCAATCCACTTCTTTAAAAAGCACGAAAAATACAGAAACCAGAAGAGGAAAGGAATAAGCCGGATTCGTTTGCTGTCCGTGCGCTGATCCCCATGCCGTAAAAGTTGGAGGGGGCCCGAAAGCAACGGTGGAAGAGAAGAGTGGTGAGGCAAAGGTGTAAGAAGAAAAAAACAAGGACCCCTTTGCTTCCCGAGGAGATCCGACCTCTCCCTGCTGTCCCAGCGCCCGGGCTGAAGCGGGAGTGGGGCCGTTACTGTCCTCTCCCTGCCTCCTCACCTGACCTAAACTGGCCTGGGACTGAACTGGACTACCCGGGCACACCACGGAAAGGCGACGCTGCCAAAGCTGCCATGCACTCCACGCATACAAACCTGCCAGCCTCACCAAACTGCCGTATTTTTTGCGCGGAACCCACTCAGGACTTGTACCGCTTGATGTGTGCCTGGAGTGCCGTTAGCTTAGCCTCTGGGACACGGCAGGGGAGACTACCAGCGCACGGTCTCTTCCCCTCGTCCTCTCTCACCAGGTTAATTTGAAACAACAGTATAAGCATACACACATGTCTCCTCAGGCTCACATATATAGTAGTGTAACTTCTCTCCCCAACTAAAAGGCAGTTTGGGTGCTCTGGCTTTGCAGCCTGTCCCTTCCTTAGCCTCCCTGCCCTGTTTTCCCTCTTCCTGACGCTCCCACCTTGAGCCGGGGCTCAGGCTTTCCCGCAGGAATGAGAGGGCAGCTCCTTGCTGACAGCCCCACAAGACAAATAATACGTTTCTGGAGTGGATGGTGGGCTCCTTGTCTCCCGTGGAGGAAAGCGGGGCAGTTCACCCATCAGTAGATAAACACGAGAAAATCCTCCAATTCGGGTGTCTAGCACTGCAGTCTTTTGGCTCCCAACCGAGTGCTCTTTAGCCAGAAGCCTTCTTAATACGATGTAAAATTAACATCTTTCTGCAAATGTACGGATATACGCACATATGCACGCTCACGATCCAGACAACTGTGAAAACTGCTCCTAAAAACTAGGCTAATATTTATTCCCATTCATTTCCTCACCAGTATACTTCCTTGGAGATACAGTCTGTAAAACATGCATGTGGGTATAGATGTTACTTAAATACTTCTTTAGCTGCTACGGCTATAAAGATGTGCTAGTCCTGTATTCAGAGCTACATATATCCGAATTATAGTTTTGAGAAGAAAAACCCCAAACAAACAGCTAGACAGCAAAAGAACAGAGTGATCGTAAAGCATGTGCATTCATATGTACAAAAGTTGCGGTAGTTGCCCACAGGATTGACAACTATAGATTGGCTTACGGTCTAATTCAAAGTCACCTTGCATGTAACATACATCTTCCTTTTTAAATTGTAGACAATTAAATGTATTCCATATTAACTTAATAGAGCAGCATTTTTTTTTCTGCTTAAATTTCTCCCGCTGAGTTTTATCAGGAGGTAAGTGAACACAATCCAGTCCAAACGTTTTCCTTTCATTTGAAATCAGTGAAAGGACAACACTTAAAAGAATGGCTCCAAAGTTCGTTTAAAAGTAAAGAATGAATAAATAAATAAATAAATAAATAAATAAATAAATAAAGCTTAAAAGCTCTGGTTTTCATCATTATAGAACTTAGAGAATAATATCACAATGGTTTGAAGGAATGATCTGTTTATAAATTGTGCACTGGAGCAGGAAAGAGTCAAGGGGTTTATTTCAGTTCAGAATTACACAGAAATCAGACGATATTTTAGGTGTCTCGGAGACTTGCTTCCAAAACTTTCTGTAGAAAAAAATACTTTTCATACCACAGTGTCATGCAAACTTCTGATTTGGCAAACCCGGTAGGTGACACTGAAATGGATCAGCATGAGCCAGGAGCACAAATAATAAACACACTCGAAATTCTTGCTTTGGTTTCTCTATAGTGTCAGGATTGGCAACGTTCACATTTTATCAGTTACCAGATTTTAATGTGAGGAAGGAAGCGGTTCCATTATCTAAATATACCCAATTGTTCACGAACAGATGATGGGCAATTTGATCTGGTCTGTCTAATTCATCAGTACAGATAAGATAAGAAAGCAAAGGCAGTCAGATATCACCAAAGGGGTTAATATTTAAAAAGATTAAATGTCAGTTATTTTAGCTAAGAAACATTTCAGTCTAGGTTTTAACATCGCCATAAAAGGAACCTTCAATATGAAGGAAATTTGGGGTTTGTTTCTGTTTTCCTTTTGCTTTCTGTTTTAGACAGGCCTGGTTTAAGATTTTTTTTTCACCCGTGTATTTATTTTTGCGGCATACGTGATTGAAGAGCCTTTCTTATGAATGCCATTATGCCTTTGCAAAAACACAGAGGGATGCTTTTCTCAGGTTGTGTTAGAAAGCAATCACTTCTATGTTGCTCATAATATCTACATGGTTAAAAATATCCATTATCTATGATTTCCCATTTCGTTAGAATCAGAGGTTGCCTTGACAAAGTCCTCAGAAAGATCCTACACAGTCTCGAACCTGGTTTTGTTTATACAGAAATTTGCATTTGAATTTAAGGAATAAAAAACTTCACGACTACCTTTTCTCCTTGCCGGTCTATCTATTGGAAACCACTTAAAAATATACGAATTGTCTTTTACCCTCTTCCTCACAATTTTTCCTCTTAATGCGTCTGTCAAATTTATAAAGTTAAAAATAAAAATAAAATCTCACCAAAGAATTAAACACTATAAAATCTCACCGAAGAATTAACATAAATGGCATACCTGATATAATCTCTTTTACAGTAGGTTTTGCCATCCCTAACAAAGCACGTACAGGTCTCGTCCAAATACTGATTACACTCTGCACACTTCAAACACGCCGCATGCCATTCCAAATCCGGAGAAACCCTCAGAATATACTGATCGTGAATTTGATTGCCGCAACCAACACATAGGGAAATCAGACGTTTTTCTGAAATGAAAATAAATACATGATTGACTAACCGTTTACTCTCCTACAGAGATAAACACACTTTTAATGCCATTCCCTTATAAAGCGTACTCTGGGAGTGTTCTTGTTTGGTTTTTGCCTTTTTTTGTTTGTTTTGGGGGATTTTGTGTGGGGTTTTGGTTGTTTTTTTAATGGGTTTGTTGGTCTTGGGTTTCGGGGTTTTTTGTATTGCACTTTTGGATGATAACTGAAGTGTGCCATCAAAACCTTGCCTCGTTTAGAAAGGAGGCGGAACATATGTTAAAACACAAATGTGAAGAGTCTTTGGGGTGAAGGTCCTCATTTCACAAGCCTTGCATGGAATCAAAACTCCAAACTCCCATGTTGTTTTATTTTTATTTTATTATTTGCTTGGTTGAATGCCCTGCCTTACGAGGAGAGCAGCTATGTGTATTATTTCATATTTTAAAAGGCTGTGACTGAAAACGATGAAGCATGGCTGCGTGCACTTCCCATTCAGCCTTCTCCCTCAGAGGAGGGGAGTCGAGGCTTCTAGCAAGAACAAGCATCATTACGGTTGTCACTTGCTCTTTTTCGTAAGTCTAATGCTAACTACCCTAGACCGAGTAGGTGCTGGATAGTCAGCCTCACCGCAGTCTTACCACAAGAAGAACTTAAGGCTCCGTGGTTGGAGATCCCATTAAAATCCTGTCTGCTCCACAAACTTTAAAAGAGAGCAGGACCCCAGGCTGTTAACATATAACGCTACGACGTTAAAACAGAGCAAGCATGCAGGCATGGCAACAAAGGCACCTTCTCTACCATTCAAATGAAGTTCAGCACTTTAGCAGTTCGCCTGCCTGACACGGTTACAATAGACAGCACATTTATTCCAACAACGGTAAAGATTCCGCCTTACTTTTTGGTGGGTCTCCCATGTCTCCCATATCTGAAAGAGGGTGTAATGTCCACAGTGAAATGGTGTACGGTTTCGTTTTAAGACCCCAAAGTAGGTTTGAGAGCTGTCGCTAAAAAACAAAAATAAAAAAAAAAATAAAAAGTAGTAGTAATAATAAAAAGGAAAAAAAAAATGGAAATCGGGGGGAAAAAAAAAAAAGGAAAAAAAAAACCGGCACAAAACACCACCGACGTGGGGAGACACTGTCAGGGCTGCGGAGAGCGCAGGGGGCGCGCGGTGCGGGGCGCGGCGCCGGGGGCGCGGCGGGATCCGGCCACGCGGAGCGGAGCGGTAGCGGTGCGGTGGCGGTGCGGTAGCGGCGCTGTGCGGGCGCGGTGCGGTGGCGGTGCGGTGCAGTGGCGCTGCGGAGGCGCGGCGGTGCCGAGCTGGGCGCTGGCGGCTGCGGGCACTCGCCTCACCCTTATCTCTTACTCAAACTTCTCTGCTCCAACTCAGCCCTCTCGCCATTGGCCCGACGTCACGCGCGGGGACGTCACGCCCGCGCGCGCCCATTGGCGGCGGGCGGCGGGGCGCAGCGGCCCCCCCCCATTATCGTGTTTCGGCGTCTGGCGGCGCCGCGGGCCCGGCTCGGGTTCGCCCGGGCAACTTTTCCCCCTGCTCCTTATTTGTGTTTCCCTCCTTTTATACTTTTCTTCATGTTCGCTTCTCCTCCATCTCCACCGCTTATCTCCTGTTACACCTTTCGTTCTGCTCTTTCCCCGAGCCCCCTCTCGGGCTCCTTCATCCCTTTCCCCCCCCCCCCGCCCCGCCGGGTTTACCATACCGTGTGTACCATTTCCATAAATACATATATATACATATACATATATACACACACACACACATATATATGTACATGTATTATTTTTAGTTGTGGTATTAGCCCAATTGTTTCCTTTCAGAACGTTTATCTTTCCACGCTCCGGTTTGACCAGGCGGAACTGCCCCGAGCTCCCCGAGGGAGGGCAGGGTGGGCTGGCGAGTTATGGCCCCAGCCGCGAGATGGGACGATTTGAGGTTGCCCTCCAGCCTCCTTTTCTCTTAAAACCGCGGATAAAATCTTCATGTATTTCTGTTGAATACAAGATCGAAGGAGGTACAAATATTTACCTGAAATTGTCTCTCAAGAAGTTCTGCCTTTCCCCAAGGAGAATCCCTTAAAATTCTTATTAAAAAAGGTATGGAGAGAAGAAGCAGACTTGCTGTTAGAAAGGATCTGCAGCGCTGCTCCCTGGAGGCGATGTGGGGATTCCTTCAGCCGAGAGCCGCGGCCAAGCGCGGTGCGGTGCGGTGTCCGCGACCGCGGCTGCTCAGGGGCGCACGGCGCACCTCGGACTCCAGCGGGCAGTTATCTGAAAGTTTCCCAAACCAGGCAAAATGCAGCTTTCCCGTGGGCACTGATTTCTTTGTGTGTGTTTTTCAAAGGGCAGGCTCCGGTTCGGCTAGTCGGTGCCTGTCCTTTAGTCCCTGTGTGGAACTGTACCCGTTCCCGAGCGTGTCCGCCCCATGCCCTTCTGACACCCACCCTCTCCACCCCGGGATTTAAACGTTCCTTTTGAGTTTGTTTAGATCCCATTTTTGTCTTCTGTTCCATATGGACTGTTACACCGCCCTCAACAACGTAGTGTAGAAGTGCCCTCCAATCACTATGCGTCAGGAAAATATATTTGTTTTCAATGTCCTATGTTTTTAAAAGGCACCTGAGTTTGGGTGTAAGAGAGGCAAAGCCATATTCATGCAGAATAATTTACCTAGGAGAAATCTGATGGAAATGAAACAACCAAGAAATAGTTCTGAAACTCGCATTTGCTGATGAGACAGCTACTAAACAACGGACCTTCTCGGATTCCTAAGTTTGCAAGATATTTTCCTTTCTCAAGCTGAGGGGACAAACACACCCTCCAGGTTTATTTCAAACAAGAAGTGGGATTCAACGTTGCCACTTGTGGAGATAACTAAACTGCCTTGAAATGATCTCAAGATAGTTTCAGGAGGTAAAGACAGGGTTGTAAACACGCGCACACAGTTAATTTACATATTCAACGTTTAAATGCAACGTTTAAATTAAACAGTGGGAAATGCAACTCTGATAGGTGATCACTTCCACACCCAAGAAACTGGCGGTATACATATATGTGTTCGGGGAGAGTGTACATGTGTGTGCGTATATACATACATATATATATATATATAAAACTAGGCATACGTATAATTATGTATACCTAGGTAATTAGGTATAAGAATAACAGCTATAATTCTCTGTGTTAACCGAGTAAACAAAAAACCAGTTATGACGAACGACTGCCAAGAGTGGCGGCTTCGGTCAGCCTGGCACGTGTTTGGGGCAAATCGCTAGTAAATGGCCAATTTCACTCAAATTGGCGGGCTGCGGTGTCGTCCGGGCCGGGTCGGGTCGGGCTGGGCCGGAGGTCAGCGCCGCGCCCCGTGCCTGCCGGTGCCCCCGCAGCCCCCGCTGCTCCGGCGCGTGGCCGCGGTGCTGCGCTTGGCGTTGCAGCGTTCGGGGCGGGGGCTTCGCTCCGCGGGCACCGCGCGGTGCCCGACCGGCCTCTCCCCGCTCCCGGGCGCGCAGAGACCGCGGCGACCTCTGCTGGCCGAGGGGCGACCGACCGCGGCCCCGCGCGGTGGGCCCGTGTCAGACCTTTTGTGTTTCTTCCCCTCTGCAAATGTCACACCCCCCCCCCCCCCAAACCCTCCCCATGGGGCATGCCCAGGCCCCCCTTTCTCCCATACCCCCCCCCCCTTCCCCCAGGGTGACCTCACGCGCTGCGAGCTGGAAAAAGGTCCGAGTAATTTAAAAAAAAAAAAAATTCACCTCAATGACTGAGGAAAAAACCAAAAAAAAATCCCAGGGTTTTCCAAGACTGAAAGATGGAAGGTATTTTTCCGCACGGCATCTTATGCATTTTTTTCCCGCTTGGATGTTTGTATATCTTTTGAAAATTTGACCTGATTAAAGTACAGCTCCTCCCAGCTTTGAAATAACACACCTTATTTTTCACCGTTACACCCTTGTTTGAAAATAATTCAATCTGTAATTCTATTAACCCCCACCCCGTAACTTTTGGTTTAACTACTACTTCTGGAAGAGACGACTGCATGTTAAGCTTGATCTTTGGAAATGATGTGCAATAAGCGAGAAACCTGTCTCCGCCCCAACAAACCACGATTGGGAAGAAAAGGAGGGCTTTGATCAAGGGTTTTTTCCCCCTCCTGTGCTACTGATTTGCTTACTGTGTATTCGATTCGCGTTCCCAGTAAGGTGAAGCTCTATATTTAGCCGACATCAGAATCGGGTTTAAGGGAGTGGAATAATGAGTGGAACTGCCAGTTTCAATGAATAAGGTATTGAGAGAAAAATCCTGCTGAAGGATTTATCTTTTATGATATCAATATACACATGAATGGGAAGACATAAAATGGGATTTGTACATATTTGAGACACTTCCGAAAATATACGTATTTTTTTTCTCCCTTTTCGTATTTATTTATTTTTGGGATGGGGGCTGGGAGAGCCTGCTAAAAGTCGGTGACTCTACACAGCAATCAACAGCTTTCATCACGTTGAGGGGCTCAAATGAGATTATATGCGTTCGAGGGAAGGGAACGGGGGCAAAAAAAAGACAAAAAAAAAAAAAACCGACAGCGGCGATTAACCCTTTCCGTCCCTTAGAGCACCGCTATAAATTCTGTCCTGCATTTGCTTAGTGGCGAAAACCAGGATGGCTTCCTAGGGAAAGGAAAAAAAAAAAAAGGAAGGAAAAAATCAGCTTCGTGAAATTATTAGAGGTATTGCTGGTTTCAGAGGAGAGGTAGTGGGCTCGCTAGGGCATGGGTGAGATGCCCTTGCTAGGGGCTGAGGCAGTACCAGGGTGCGGCGGCCGAGCGTCGTGTGGGAACGGGGCATCAGGGGCTCCTTGTCCGCCCCGCCGGGGCTTGTCGCGTTTACCCTCCCGGGGCTTTGAGCAGGTGACCTGGCCACAGAAGCAGCGCGCCTCCGGCTCCGGTCGAGAGGGCTATTTTTGTCCCACGACATGGCGGTGGTTTAGCGCAGCTTCGCCATTCGGGCACGCAGAAAGGCTCTTTCCGTCAGCTCTAGCTTAAAACTTCTCTTGAGGAGCTTTGGACCAAAAAGATGCTGTGCAAGAAGAGTCTGGATTTGAGGTTCCCAGAGGTTCGGATTTCCCCTCGCTGTCTTGCGGAATGCGGCAAGGAGCCCGTGCGATGTGCCGAGAGACGAAGAGGTCTCGCACAAGGCTGAAACTGGAAACAAGCAGAGAAATCAATCACAAAATGTATTAGCTGCTCCGGGATGCAGGCTTTGACTCATCTAGAGGTGTGCGATCTTTAATCTTCGAGTCTTAGCTACTGCATGTGAGGGAGAAGTGTACCATAACAGCACTAAATCTATCAAAACAGAAGAAAACCTGTCAGTGGGCTTCTGCGCGCCCAGGAAACCTTCCGAGTTTAATAATACAATTTCGCTTATTAAATCCCGCTACCGCTTAATTAAAAAAAAATATAAAAGAAAAAAAAAGGCAGAAAGTAGCCATCCTTTCTCTCCTAGAGCCTTCTCGGAGTTCAGTAACACTCAGAGTGTCACCATAGGACTGGCCGGCATCACTGGCCCTATTTTTTCATCCAGTCGGAAATGGACATACTGTCATGGGTAGTGTAAGCAGGGGAGCGAGGTCTCTGGAAGTTGATGTAAATACACAAACACCCTCCCCCCCATACGCACCCCCCAAAATTCTGGGGTGAGGAAAATCCCTAAAAGATGTTAAGAAGATGTCAGAGCGTGGGTCGGGCCGAGGACTGGAAAAGCCCAGTTTCTCTTCTGTCGCGTGCTGCCTGGCCTTAGCGCCGGCAGCCCCGAACGCAGAAGAGGAGAGAAGCAGATCGGGTATATTTATTACTTTAAACTTTCCCCTTTGTTATCTTCCCCGTGTCAGGAAGTGTTCGAGGACAGGAAATACAGCGGCGATTTTGTCTCCGTGGTGAACAGAAATTTCTGGTTAGCGAGGGAGTTTCAGGCCCGCTTTCAAGTCCCGGCTCTGTTGGGGGTCCCGCCGGAGTGATCGGACCCTTTCGTTTCCCCCGCTGCTCATGGGGGCTGTGTGGGCCGTGAGAGGAGGCAATGACCCGAGCCCGGCCCCGCGCGGGTCCCAAAGGGCTCACGTCCCACGTCGGGAATCAGACTGGCGGGAGAGATGGGAAGCAGCGGGATAACCCTGTCCCCCACGAGTCTGTCCTCCCATAAATATGCATAGGGGACACCTCAATCCTACCCTCTCGTAAACAGGCTGATTCCCATGGGTAATTTTCCTCTCCAAAATACCCTCATCCTATCTTAGGGCCGCTACAATAATCGCCTCTACACGTCCCAGGAAACCAGCCCAGAATCCCCGGCTCTGGAATGCGGCTTTAGAAAGGGAAAAAAACCCCAAAACCCCCACACCCCCCCCACACCGCCCCCGTCCCCCTAAATAATGAATAACGTCCTCCTCATCAACAACAGTGACCATAACACGGCAGGGCGAGCAGCAGCCGAGGCAGGCGCCGGGGGCCGGTGCTGTCGGGGCCCGCGACCACCGCGAAGCCTGCGGGGCAGGGGGAGGACGCCCGCCCCCGGCACGCCCGGTCCCGGCCAGAGTGCACCCGGGTACACCGGCAGAGCGCGCCTGGCCGGGAAGCAAGAGCGGGCGGATCCGCTCCCCTCTGCTCAGCTCCGCTCTCCGGCCGAGCCCCTCAACAGGGTGCCCGGCTGAGCGGGCCCGAGGGGCCGGGGCGAGGAGGAGGCGGCGGCGGCAGAGCCGCGATCCCCCTCGACGCGAGCAGCACCGGCCACTGTCCGAAAGACTGTTCCTGGCGGAGCGAAGGCGCCTTCCCTCGAATGCGGTGAAGCGTTCGCCGGTGCCACCCTCGCTCCTACCCAGCTGGTGGCAGCGGCTGCAGTGTCTCACCAACTCTGAATTCTGCTGTACGGAAGGCACTGCCCTGCTGTCTTTCTGAGAGGCTCTCTTCCCTCCCCGGCACCGCGCTGACCTTCGCAACGGCGTTTCAGGAGATGCAAAAAAAACACCCAAAAAAACCACCAACGCCCCCAACCAAACTAAAACAAAAAACTAGACCAAACAACGGGAGCGAACACCAAATAAATGAAAAAATATAGCAACTAGAAGAAACTAAGTTTGACGATCGGCAAACCACTTGTCTGATGGGCAGCGAGCTACTTTAGACGCAAAGGATATACCACCAGTCTTTGGTCATTAGGAGGTATATTTATTGCTTCTTAAATGAGTGAAATAAAATTGACAGCTGCAACCAAATCCAAAAAATATTATGTACGTTTTAAAATCAAACGCACGTAGTTATCTGCGTGTTAGGTCGGGTTAATCAGCCGAAGGGAG